TGGCAATCGCCCACAGATTTCCCATTCCAGCCCTCAACATTCCCATCTGTAGGTGATTCCTACATCAACGGAGGGTTTCAGACAGCAGGAAATAGCCCTGGGGAGGCCCTGGTCAACTGGGATGAACTATAAAGGGAATGGTCCCATTTTCAAGGCTTTAGGCAAAACAATGTGGATTTCCTCACAGGCAGCAAGGACAATCCTACCCCACAGACGGTGGGTGCTGCCCAGCGAGAACTGGCCCACCCAAGCAGATTTAACAGAGCAGACAGCTGCTGGTGCCCATCGTGGCTGCCGTGGGGCTTGGTGCTTTCCCACGAACTGTCCTGGTTGCCTTCACCATACACCTGTGAAGTCCACAGCATTATTTCTATTTTAAAAATGAGAAAACTGAAGATGGAAGAAGTCAAGTGAATTCTCCAGCCACACACCTCATATGCAGCAAAGCCAGGATGTGAACCCAAGTTCTTCCAATTCGTGGCCCACCTGCCTTCATGTTCAAGGCCAGGGTTCCCACAGGCCAAGCTCTACTTTGCTGTGAAATTGAGAAGCTGGTTCTCTGCCCATTCAGCAGGATAAGCATCCTGTTTTACATAAAACCTGCGGGCGCACAGAGGCTGTACCTGGGGGAGGAGCCTGTGTAGTCTGGAGACGGGCACCCTGAGATGCACAGCCCCTCCTGGGCAGTGTTCTTTTGGTACCCAGCACTGTGGAAATGTCCAGTAACAAGCACCACTGATGAGGAAGGCTGACTGGCTTTTCGAGCTTTCTTCTCCCCTACAGAGTCACATGAAGCCTAAAAGCTGCAGGGTCATCCTGACATCAATACTTATAGCAATTAAAGGAAAACTGGATGCAAAAACCTCCAGTCACCTATCCTCCCTGGAGCCTGCCCTGTGTTTGCAAGGTCACTGCCTACACCCGCTGGGGTTGCCATTTACCTCAGGGCCTGGCCCTGCTGCTGTGGAAAGGGGTGGCAGTGGCCGGAGCACAGCATTTCTGGGTTGTGTTCTCAGCACAAACACACTGCGGGGCGTTCAGGGACAACCACCCATTAAAACGTGCACACAAGTCCAGTTCAGATGGCAAACAGATGCCCTCCAAGCCTCATTTACAACAACCCTTAAGAATAAAACCATAATTAAAAAAAAATTCAAGCCCAAGATGAACCAAACAGGAACCATCTCTTGAGTGTGATGTGAATCCCACCAGTGGCCAGAGACGGCTTTTTGGCATGGAAACTCTGCAGACATTTGATGGACTTGCTTTCCTCATGTGTCCAATTCTCCCTCTTAAATGGAACATGGCTCAAGTTCTTCACTCTTACAAGCTAAGACTGAGGGAACTTGTGTGGGGGTGGGGGACGTGCTAATTCAGGAAGGGGAAGATGAACCAGCGAGCTATCGTGGAGCAGCTAGAAGGAAGACAAGAGCGTGGATATCACAGGAAGACCAGCATGAGGCAGGGAAGTCCCTGTTACCCTGTGAGCCACCACTTATGGTAAGGTAATAGCTTCTTCCCCAGACAACATGGCAAAGGAATAGTCTCTGTGGACAGGGAGGGCTGACCTGGAATCACCAAATCTTCGAGCCTCATTCCTTTCCCACCAACGGACTGAAGAAGAGGAGAATGTTCATAGGGCTTCATCACCTGATTCTTGGGAATAAATGGTGCCCAGAGTCTAACAGCGTAAAATCCTGGTATGACTGCCATCCATGGTGCTGGTGAACAAGCCAGGCACGTTATGTCCCTCTTTGCTCTGAAACCCCCAACCAGTCCTGGCTCTGATGCCTTGCTCTCCAAGGCTGGCAGATGTCTCATCCATGTCCCAGATCACACCTCAGCCTCCTGCCTGGCCTTGGGCCTTCATGGCGCTGTGGCAGGTGGAAGAAACTGGAGAGAAAGGTTTGGGAACAGACCAGCCGGGTTTGAACCCCAGGTCCTCCACTTCCTGGCTGTGTAACTTTGAGCAACAACAGCTCCAGGCTGGCCTTTTCTTCACCATCTCCACCACCCCCTGGGGTTGGCAAGGCTGAGAAATTTCCAGAGTTGACATGCCCCAGTCACTGGTGGTGTGGTAATGCTTTCCTAAGCTGCCTTCCTGGCCAGGGCATTAGAGACCTCTCACCATGTGGGCCCATCCAACCTCCTTTAAACGGCATTGCGGCCACCAGGTCCTTTCCTCCATGCTCCTAAGCCAAGGGGTGTTCACTCCATCACACCTGGTTGGCTTGCTACCCCTAACACCGTGTTCTTTCTGACCTTCTCATCTTTGCTCAGGCTCTTTTCTATTTCCCCTCATCCTTGAACTCCTTTGCTGGTAAAATTCATCACTCAAGTTTTGACTTGAAGGTTTGTGACAAGCACTGCCTGCTCCCCTGTACTCTTAGTGGGATTAGTATCCTCCAAGGGACCGTGAACTCCTTGAGAGAAGCGTCCAGTGATGTGCTGGAGTACAAGCTCTGGGGAAAGAGTGGTGGGGACAGAGCCCCACCACTTACTAGCACATGACCTTGGGAAAGGTATTTAACCACCCTGTGCCTTGTCCATCCATAAGCTGGGGACAACGGTTACCTGCCTCATGGGACTGTCGGAAGATGACGTAAAACATGTGAAGGGCTGAGAACCGAGCCTATTATTTGTATGCTTGGTCCCTGTAGCACAGGGGGTATGGATACTGAACTGAGAGCTGAGGAGGCCATTTGTGGATGTGGATTACTTGGATCGGCAGTGGCGGG